GGTAGGTCCCCCGCCGCCCCGGCAGGACAGGCTCCCCTCCGTGCCCACAAGGCCAGGGCCGTGGCTGGGAGGAGGGACATGACCATCCTGGGGCCTAGGGTCAGGATCCTGACTGCACCCCGTCTTGTGGGACCCCCTTGCTGGGCCTCGGTTTCCCCTCTGTAAAATGGACCAAATGACACCCACCACAGGCCCCTCCCAGGGACTCAAGGGACCCAGGAAGAGGAGTGGATGCTCTTTGACCCTGATTAAGGTGAGGATGTCCAGGGCAGAGTGGACTGCAGGGGCAGAGGCTCTCAAGGAAAGTTCTATCATTCTGGGTGAGCCATGGTGACAGGGGCAGCCTGTGTCCTGCAGAGCCATGGGGTGGGGGTCTGTCCCAGAATGTGGGAGCCGAGAGAGTCTTAGGCCTGGGAGGGACGTGCTGTGGTTCTTCTGGGAACTTCCAGGACCTTGTGGAAGCTCCCAAAGAATATTCTTCTCACTTCGGGCAGGTCGAAGGTGACCTCCTGCAAGGTGGCCCTGGGGTCACGGTTGAAGTAGGTCAGCGACTTTCTGCCGGCTGAGGAGGGGCAAAGAACACGTGAGACCCCTGGGTAGAAGGTGGGGGGGACCCTTCCAGGCCTGCCCAGAGTGGAACAGGGTGAGGGGGTTACGGCCCCACGAAGGGCGTGCAAAGCCTCGCATGCCCCAAACCTCAGAGGCCATGCTGCGGAAGCAGCCCCTGCTTTCTGGGGTGACCTGGGTCCACTGCTCCCCCTCCCAACTGACCATCCAGCAGGACCCCCAGGACGGGCTGGAAGTCCTCGGCCGCCACCTGCCACAACGCGAAGGCCTCTCGGGGCGTCTCGGGGAGCAGGCGCAGAAGGAAGACCACCGTGTGCTCCGGGGGGAGGGCGGCCGGGTGGATGTCACTGTCGGGGCACAGGGAGGGGCAGCTGCAGGCCCAAGAGGAGGCCGGACCCTCGGGGCTGCCGAGCGGGTCCTCAGGGCCAGGCTGGGCCTCTCCTGCCTCCGCTTCCCCGGGAGTAACGCGGGGAGCGCAAGGGTCAGAGCTCCCTTCCCGGGGCTGTCGGGACCCCTGGGGTGGCACGCAGCCCTAAGCCCCAAGCCCCAGGAGGGATGGGAGGCCGTCCCACCACAGCCAGCATCCACGACAATCTATCCTTCAGTGGGTGGGGCAGGTGCAGGTCAAGGGGTCTGGAGCCGGAGGTCTCTGAGCCTGTCTCCCGGGGGTCAGGAGCGCACAAGCCCTTGAGAGCAGCTCACTGGGTGAGTGGTGGGGGTCTGTGCTGGTGCCATGCGCCCCCCGGGTCATTGGAGTCACCCCAAAAAATTGTTCCTAAAGGCCTACAGCCTCCCTGCTTTGCTCCTGGGATAATTAAGAGCCTGCAAAACCCAGCACAGAAGCGATCTTGAAATTTTTTAAGCAAACAGACCCCAGGGCCTTGGCACATGTTGCTGCTTTACCCGAGTGCCCTCCCCTCCCCCATTCTCTCTCTAGTGGCTCCTACCCTCTGCCACCTCCTGGGGAGCCTTCCTGACCCAGGGAGGGACCCTCCTACTCTTAGCAGCCCCAGGTTGCATTCGCGGCAGGTATCGTGATGGGGGTACTCCTGTGCGGGGTGACACACCTGGAGGGAGTGACCACACCTGTGCTGGGTGACACACCTGCAGGACCGTCAGCGCCCACCTCTGGGGCTGTGAACTCCGCAAAGACAAACAGGAAGCACCCATGAGCACTGTGAGGCCCTGGGAGAGCCCCACTCACAGGAGAGGGACGATCGCGGAGAGTCTCTGCAGCGTTTAACGAGCGCGCAGGGTCTGCTGTGAGGGTGGAGCCAGGCCAGGGGCAGAGGCCGCGGAAGCAAAACCTCAGGGTTCCTGGCAATCAGAGCGACCCACCCGGGCAAAGACCCCAGACCGAGGCTTGGGAGGGAGGAGGGGCCACCGAGGAAGAGGCAGGCCTCAGGCCCCTGCACAAAAAGTAAACCTTGCAAACCAGCCTAAAAGGAAATCAGAACGGGAGCAGATCGTGGGGAACACTCGCAGCAAAGCTCGGGCAAAGGAACAGGACGCCAGCCTGGGCCACACCTGCCACACTGTGTCACGCCGCGTCCGTGGGGAGGCAGCCGGCTGCATGAACCGCCCTGAGTCTTAGTCGTGTGGGGTGGGCTCTGTAGACTTACATGTTTCTCACTTTTCAAATTTCTATTTTAAAGCATGTGATTTACCTTTGCAACTTCAAACATCTTAACTTAGGGAAAAATTATGCTGTGCATGTGGAAGTTCCGATCTGTGATTCAAGACGCCTCTCTGTACACAGAGTGGGGTGGCTCTTAGATGCGGGGTCGTCAAACAAGCCTTTCTGGTGGTTCGTCACTGAGCACAGTGACTCAGGCTATTTGCAGGTTTGTGGAATCAAACTAAAGCACACGGGAGGTAGGAGGTCTCACAAGAGACAGAGCTGGTGGCCCCCGCCCAGAAGTCTGCAGGTCTGATCAATCCCCGGGCCACATGGGGAAAAGGACCCCTGTGGCCTCATTCTGCCCACGTGAGATTGATTCATTTGTGGGACTCAGGTTCCCCTGTGCCAGGAGAGTCTGCCTGGCTGGCTCTGGGGGCGGAGCTGCTGGGCCTGGGGCTCCCTCTCCCACAAACCCCCAGGAGGGTGCCCTCCCACGCTGCTCCAGTCACAGCCCCCCACCCCCACCCCCGCCCACCCCACCTGGCCCGGCGAGTCAGCTGAGCGTCCTTGAAGAGCGTGAAGGTCCTGGTCGGGCCAAACGCCGAGGGCTCCATGGCCAGACCGCGGATGGAGGCGTATTCCTTCTCCACTAGGCCGAAGGCCGCCATCAGGTCAAAGCCTGGGGGAGCCGGTGTTCCCGAGGGACAGTCAGAGACAGGGAGTTGGGGGGCCGGAGGCAAGAGCCCAGGTGTGGGTGAGAGGAGACAGCGGGAGCAGCAGCAAGAGGAAGATGCGAGGGAGCAGAGGGGCCCTCCGGTGCGGGGCGGGGGGCAGTAGGGACCTCAGGGGCCTGGTCTCCCACCCTCTCCACCCTGACCTGGGGAAGGACACGCAGGCAGCACCGTCCTGCCCCTTAGGTTGCCCCGGCCTCGGCCTCCCCACAACCCTCAGTGTCCGGACCTCCCCGACCCAGCAGAGTCACAGCCACAGCAGAGCTAAGTCCAGCACCCACTGCGACTTAGCGGGCCAAAGTGGCCATGACTTTGGCGACATGGAATCTCCTGTTACTGGCTCAGTGGCCAAGGCCCTGAGCAGGCAGGCGTGGACGACCTCACCTACCCTGCTGCCCAGCCTCGAGCAGGCCCTGCCCTGCGGCCTGGTCTGAGCAGCTGCAGCCCTATCACTCGCTGGAGGTCCCGCGGGAGATGCAGCCCTCGAGCTGGGCCGCCCTCCCTGCAGCCCACCCTTGCCCCCAGCCAATCTCCCTGACAGCGCAGGGGCGCACACGTCAGCCTTCTCTCTGGGGAGGGCCTCTGGCCCGCAGGCACTAAAGACGCTCTGTGACCCCAGGCTTCGCCCCTCGCCCCGCCAAGCCCCTGGTCCTCAGACGCTCACGGAGGCCACCCTGGGCCTGGAGCCCCGAGCGTGGCCTCTGCCCTCCACATCCAGGCTGTGACCTTGGACAAGTGACCCTGGACAGGCCCCAGTCACCTCCACTGTGAAGCAGGAAAAAGGCACCAGCCAACCTCAAGGGGCCTTCCTGGAAAAGTGTCAGCCCCGCCTGCCTGCCGCCCTCTCATGATCCCCCAGCCCCTCTCCCAGGCCATCCTCCCCAACAAGGACCCGGCGGAGGAAGAACGGGTCGGGGCTGGAGAGCAGCCATCGCAAAGGGCAGGACCTACCTGGGAGGGAGCCGTCAGGGTGGAGGGCCGGGCAGGCTGCTGAGAGGGGCGGTAGTCAGGGTCAGTGGACCGGGCCTCGGCCTCCACCTGGGGAGGGGCCCCTTGTGGCTGGGCGCCCTGCCTCTGGCTGCAGGTGGGTTGGAGATGTTCCCTGTCGGCACCCACTTGCAGGCCTGTTGTTCCACAGCTCAGGGACCGGGAAGGGACAGAGATGGGTCCTGCTGTCTCAGGTTCTACTCCCGGGAGACAGCACCTGGCTGGGGCACTCCCACAGGGCACTGAACCCCGGGAGAGTACCAGCCACCCTGATGCGCCCCATGCGGCAGGGCCAGAGAGATGCCGGGGTGTGGGGACGTGCCGACTGTGCACCGCTGCCCTGGGGCTGGCGTGGCTAGCTGGCTTGCTCCACTGGCAGGCAGCAGGTGGGCGCTCGGAAGGTTCGTGGGCAAGTGAGGGCAGGGACCGGGGCCCTCGGAGCGGGAAGCAGCTCTGCCCTTGGACAAGAAGGGTGCTGAGCCTTGACAGCTGTCCTCTGGGTACTGAGGCCCCCATCCCCAGAGGCATTCAAGCCAAAGCTAGGCGACCGCACGCAGGAGACTCAGAGGGAAGCTGGGGCGGTCAGGCTGATCAGCCGGCCTGTGAGGATCCTCTGCTCTGAGGGTCTGATTGTCCAGGAAAACCAGCATGAACAACAAAACAAAAGCCAAGTTCCCTCTAAGCTGGGTCCTGGCACGCGGGTGGCAGGACCCCAGGGATGACCTTTAACACCGAGGGCCCTGGGCTCCGCTGCGGCCAGTCTGTGATCTGCACCCGGCCTCCCAGCTCCTGAGGCTGGGCGTCTGCCCCACTCTTCCTGGACACAGATCCAGGGGAACTCCGGCCTGTCCCCAGCTTCGGGCATCTGTAGGCCAGGCTGCAGCTGAGGCCCCTTGGGGGCGCCCGGTTGGCCCGCTGTGACCTCAGCCCTGGGGTTGGCGTTGGCATTCTACTTGTGGGCAGGGTCTTGCGTGAAAACCCTGACTCTCCTCCCCTAAGCTCTGCAGCGCCGGCCTGTGTGCGGGGAGAGATAGGCCCATGTGTCCTGCTGAGTGGCCCTGTGGGTTCGGGCTCCTGGGGGCCTGCCAGGGTCTCAGGCCTGGCTGGGGTCTGCCGGGGCCTGGGGTCTTGGTGCCCACCCACCTGTCCGGCCCACGGCAGACACTGCCACACTCTCCCCGGCGCCATAGATGGCCGAGACCAGGACCCTGTACTTGGTGGCTGCCAGCAGGTCGGGAAGCGTCACCTGGCTCCTGGGTCCTGGAACGGAGAGTCTGGGGGGGGGGTCACGGTCACCCGAGCTGCCCCTCCCGAGCGACTTTGCTCATTTGGGCATCTCGGCTCCCCGTCCGTGTGTCCTGCCATGGGAGGGTGGCCCCTCAACAGAGAGGGTGGGACGTGTCTCCCCCATGGCCCAGGCCCTGGGGGGCCTGTGGGGGCGTTGGCTTCTGGGCTCTACCCAGACCCACCGATTTCTCTGGTCCTGAGCCTGAGGCTAGTGTGTAGGTGAGCCGGTAGTGGAGGACGTGGCTGCTCGGGGGCGTCCAGCTGACTCGCAGGCTGTTGGGCGACTCAGAGGCCAGGGCCAGGTCAGAGGGCGGGCTCTGGCTGACTAGGGGAGAGCACAGGGTGGGGCCTCAGACGGCAACATGCTCCCCACTGCTCTGCACCTCACCCACCACCCTCCCACTCCACAGCCCCTGCCATGCCAGCCACGCCATGCCAGACACACCATGCCGCCCCGTGGCCTTGGCACAGGCAGGGCCACCACGCCAGCTCTGGGACCGTCTTGGGCCCTGCGCCACCTCTGGTGACTTGGACCCTCGGCCACTCCAGGGATGCCTGTCTGGAGGGCTCAGGAAAGCCCCATGACCCAAGCAGTAAGGCCACAGGGTCAGGGACTGGGGAACTGCCTGTCGGCGGTCCTGGGCCCACAGGGCAGGGCATCTCAGCAGAGCAGGGGTCACTTACGGGGGCTGTAGCGGAGGGACACAGGGTCGCTGCGGGCCCCGTCCCTGTAGTAGGCCAGGAGGGCGATCTCACACTCCGAGCGCCTCCCCAGGCCAGGCAGGACGGCTGTGGCCAGGTTCCCTGGGACAGAGATCTGTGGAGAGGAGAGACCAGGGGTCCACCCTGGGGCCTGGTCCTCACACTGGGGCCTGGCCCACAGGCCAGGGGTGGGCAGATGTCCCATGGGTGCAGCACTGGGGTCTGAGCTGGTGGGGGAGGGTTTCCCCCCACACCTCATGGGCCTTCCCATCTCCCAGGGGCGTCCACTTGATCTGGTAGACCAGCACGCCAGATGCCGCTGCGGCCGCCCACTCCAGCCGGACTTTGTCCCCAGGGAGCTCGGTCACCGACAGCTGGCTTGGGCTGGGGACTTTCCCTGGAAGAGGGAGGAGGCAAGGGAGACCGCCTGTCCCCACGAGGCCGTGCCCACGTCCCCCCTTTCCCAGGACAGGCTGCCGGGTGGGCACTGGCCCTGCTCCCCGGAGGTGCCCTGGGGACCCTGCACCCAATCGTCGCACCTGTCGGGGTACCTGGCTCAGCCCTACGCAGAGCAGACACCAAGCATAAGTGTTGATTTGAAATGTCCATGGGAGTGGAGGGAGGTGGCCTGGAGACCCCATCCCCACCTCTGCCACTCACGTGTGGTCAGGTGGCCGGTCAGTGTGGAGGAGCTGCCCCTGGGGTAGAGGCAGGTGACGCGGACTGTGTAGGTGGTAGAGGAGGAGAGCGGGCCCAGAGTGGCCCAGGTGGCGTTCCCAGGGACCTCCGTCTACAAGGGGTTAGGGACATGGGCAGCTGGGGCGGGGCAGCCCCTGCCAGAGGGAGACCCAGGCCTGGGACCTGCTGGCCTGGACTGCCACGTGGCCACCTGCCCACCCACTCTCAGCCCCACAAGCTGGCATTTTCAGCTCTCACGACGCCATGCGCCCCCGCACGCCTGTCACAGCTGTCACCTGCGAGTATCTGTACGATTCCTTGCTTCATGCCTGTCCCCACCCTCCCTCCAAGGCTGAGGCCCACCAGGGCCGGGTGGTGTCACCCTACCCCCATGCCCCCTGCCCCGGGCCGAGGCTGGGCCTGCGGAGGTGCAGCCACACCCACTGACCCTGAATGCAAGGACGGGGGCCGGGAGGCTGGGGGCACTGGGCCCCCACGGCCAATTCATACCCCACCCCCGGCACTGCAGGACAGCAGGCTCCCAGCAGGGCCCACTCTCACCTGTCCTGAGTGGCCACCCTTGCTGGAGACATAGCTGACCCTGAACAGGCGCACAGGTCTCTGGATGCCTTCCCAGGACACGCGGGCCGAGTCGTGGCTCACATCCGAGAAGTCCAGGTGTCTTGGGGCGCCCAGGGTGGCTGCAGAGCACATGAGGCCTCAGGGACCTCCCCAGGCATATGGGGAAGGGCGGGCGATGGCCAGGGCTGCTGGGGCTACCAGAGGGCTTGGGGGACCCCACCCCGCAGCAGGTTCAAGGGTGGGGAACCAGAACGCGGCCTCAGCCTGCAAGGTCAGGGCACTCACGAGTCCTGGCGCGGATGCCCTGGGCCTCACTGGTCTCTGCCCCTCGCAGGCTCTGCACCCAGATGTCATAGTCCCTGCCCGGGTCCAGGCCGTCCAGAAGCACCCCCGGCTGCCCCACCCGCACCTGCAGGGATGGGCACTCATGCTGGCCCTCCCTGTGCTCCCCCAACCCGGCTGCCCAGCCCCGCTCTCCCGCCTCCCCAGCCCCTCTGCCTCGCACCTCTCTTGCCTCCTCCTCACCCTTGGGGGAGGCAGGCGAGCAGCGCACTAGGTACTGGGCGGCCCCAGCCGAGGGCTGCCAGGCGAGGCGGATGGTTCTGGGCGTCACTGCAGCAAGGGTCAGTGCCCGGGGTGGGGGCAGGGGCGCTGGGGGAGAGGCAGAAAGCAGACCCATGAACCAGCAGGACAAAGGAGCTCAGGAAACACCGGCCAGGTGTGTCTTGATGCAGACGCAGAGCCGGGGGTGGGGGTCAGGGTGCACACAGATGCTGTAAGTCCCTGTCCCAGGTTCGCACCGGGCCAGCTTCTGGCTCCCAGCTCTGGGGACACAGGCCACCTTGTGGGTTTCTGTTAAGCCACGTGCCCTGAGGGTGGGAAGGAGGGCTGTGGCCTCTAGGGGTTGGACAGCCGGGGAGAAGCCAGACACTGAAGGCCACACACTGTATGATCCCATTTCCTCGGAAGGCCCAGACGTGGCAAATCTCCAGCGACAGAAAGCAGCTCGGGGCTGACAGGGGCTGTGGGGGAGGGGGAGGACCGAGGGTGACCACTAAGGGTGCAGGGTTTCTGTTTAAGGTGACGGAAGTCAAAGGGGACTGTGGAGATAGGAGCACAATGCTGTGAATGTATGGAAAACCACTGACTTGGACACTTTAAACGGGTGAGCTGTGGGCTGTGTGTCTCAGTAAAGCTGCTAAGTGGGGGGCGGTGGGGCTCATGGCAGTCCCCTGGGCGCCTGCCGACCGGGCCGGGCGGAAGCTCCAACAGTGTGAGAAGCAACAGTGATGGGTCCCAGCTGTGGTTGGGGTGATGACAAAAACGACATCACTTGTGCTCAGAAGAGGAGACAGAGGGTCAGAGAGGCACAGCGACTCAGCCTCGGTCACACAGCAAGCAGGGGGTGGTGCCCCCACCCCAGGGTTAAGACCGCCCTTGCTGGTGCCAGGCTCCGAGGGAGGCTGCAGGTAGGGGGCACTGCTGAGCCCGGGTCTGTTCCTCCCCACCTGTGGTCACCAGGCCCTGCAGGCCCTCGCCGACTCCGGCCTTGTAGACAGGGAGCACGGAGACCAGGTACTCTGTGCTGGAGGTCAGGTTGTGCAGCTCTGTGGACAAGGCGGGCCCCTCCACCACCACCTAGAACAGGAGTCGCAGTGGGTGGGCAGGGAGGGGTGCAGGGGTGCAGGCTCGGGCAGGGCTGGATCAGTCCTCGCTCCCTGCAGGGCTGTGTCCCTGGCTCCTCCTGGACACAGACGTGACACAGGCGTGAGCACTCACCCCACTCCCACCATCTGGGGGCTCATGGAACCAGTTTGGTAGCCCCCCCCTTCCTCCTCCACGTTGGCTTTGTCACGTGTGGGCCTCCCTCCAGCCCTGTCTGTGCAGGGCCACCTCTCACCTCCCTGGGGGTGCCGCCCTTGGAAGGCTGCCACACAATCAGATACTTGAGGGGTGGCTGTGGGGCTGGGGTCCAGGACAGGTGGACGCTGGAGGAGGTCACCTGGGTCAGGACCAGGCTGGTGGGAGTGGAAAGGGGGTCCAGGGCCAGAGTGGCTGCTGCTGGTGTAACTGTGGGAGGGGAGGTATTGGCAAGGCCGCCAGTGGGCAGCAGGCATTGTGGCTCTGCCTGCTCCCTCTGGCGGCCACTTCCAGGAAGGACAGTTGTCCCTGGGTGGTGAGAGATGGGAGAGCCAGCAGGAGGGCTCAGGGAGTTCCTTACAGGAGCTGCAGTCCCCCGTCCCTCTGCCCCGAGCAGCCTGGCAGGGCCCGGGCGGCTGCAGCCAGTGGGGGTGACCCTGCCCCCGCGTCACCACCCTCCTGCTTATCTGAGCCCCCGCGCTCACCGGACCCCCTGCGCGGGCTCCTGCCCTGGATTTTTTGGCAGATCAGCCGGCTGAGCAGGCCGGCCAGCGTGCCGAGCTGGGGAAAGTCCTGCACATTGTGGACAGTGATGTCCAGCGGCGGGGATGCCAGGAGCCTCAGCTCAGCCTCATCGGCGTTCTTCACACCTGCCGCGGGGTGGGGGTGGGGTGAGCCCACTCAGCGCCCTTATCCAGGGTGCAGTGGGATCACTGGACCCTGCCCGGCCACCCAGTGGGCCAGGGCTCCTTCCCGAGCCACAGACCCCAGACCCCACAGGGCCCAGAACTGGGTCGCCCGGCGGTGTCCTGGTGAGAGAGGCAAGTGCAAACGTGGGCTCGACCCTGAAGGCCCCTCACAGGCTGTGCCGTGCCCACAGGGGTCTCCGTGGGGTTTGGGGCCAGGAGGGAGGTCAGTGTGTTTTCCTGGGGGCCCAGCACAGGGGCACTGGGGAGGGTCTCTGCTCCCAGGAATCCCCGCCCTTGAGTCTGGAGTTCCCTTCTCAAGGGACAGAGTTAACAACTGGCCGGTAAAGGGAGTAGCATGAGGTCCCCGAGGGGTGCTAGGCACCTACGGTGCAGCGAGGGGGGCCCATGTGGATGGGTGGGGTGCGGAGACATCTACAGAAGATGCTGCCAACTGGCTGCCTCATCGGGAACAGCCATGCTGCCCACGCCAGCTTCTGGGGCTGCCGTCCCAGCGCCCAGGGATCAGGCCCTCAGGGCAGGGACTCGCCCTCCCCATTTGCAGACCCAAGGCTGAGGCTGAGGCTCAGAGGCCACAAGACCCACAGCCCCAAAGCCACCCCCTGGGCGAACGCCCACGGAGCCCGGGGGCTGCTCACCCACAGCAAAGACGTCAACACCCAGGCCCTTGAGGACGTGGCCAGCAGTGCGGGCGTCATCCTGGGACTTGCCATCCGTCACCAGAATCACCAGCTTGACCACCTCTGGACGGAGACCTGCTGCGGGCTGCAGGTTCTGCTCCAGCACGTGGGTCAGGGCCAGGCCTTGGGTGCAGTGAGAACAACGTGGGGGTGGCTCCAAGTGCCCTCCTTGCCTGTCTGTGGCGTCTGCACCAGCCAGTGGTCCCCGTGCTCGCCCCCTCGCCCCATGTCAGTCCTGGCCCCTCCAGGCTGCTGGGACCTGGAGGGCAGGGACACCGCCTCTCCTTCTGTCATGGGAGCCACGAGGCCCAGGAGCAGTGCCTGCACCTGCTGCTTGACCAGCCGGCATCAGTCCCAGAGCAGCGAGGCCCCAGGACCGGGACAGGGAGGGGCTGCTTTCAGCAGGCCACCCGCAAACCACTGGTGGCTGCCCCCAGGAGCCTCTGCCGATCAGAGGAGCCACTCAGTTTCAGCAGGACTGCCCAGCACCTACGTTCACCAGGGATAAACGAGGGTGGATTTGCCCTTAGGGAAGGCGTGGATAGGAGCTTGAGCCCAGTTCACACCTGTTTCCAAATCTGGGAGGGGAGCGAGGGAGGGTGACTGCCAGCCCACGAGGGGCTTGAGGACAAAGACCCGTGCGGACCCCAGGGCGGGGCCGGGCCAGGCAGACCTGTGAACGTGTTTCCCCCTCTGTAGCGGAGACTGTGGACGGCCGCCAGGACCTTCTCCTTGGTGCCAAAGGTGTTCAAGTCCCACTCGGTCCAGGGGGCTCCGCTGTACTGAGTCAGGCCTGGGAGGGGAGGGTCCCAGCGGCACTGTCAGGCTGCGTGCGAGGGGAGGTCCAGCGCGGTCTGCTGGCACACAGCCTCGCCAGGTCACCAGGGAGGGCACATTTGCAAAGCCCCATCTTCCACACAGCAGTGTCCCCCCGGAAGCCAGCTGTCCTGCCGGTGCACGTGGAGAGCCCTCCCTGCCTGGCTGGTGGGGGAACTTAGCCTTGGCTCCCAGAGGCTGCATCTCCTCTCCCACTTCTCACTCCTTCTCCGAGGCATCACCTGTGCTGGGGGCTGGGGCTGGTGGGGAACTGTGAGGACCACCTCTGGGTGGGCCACAGGGCAGGGCTGAGACCCACCTACTTGGACTTTGTCCAGCCCGATTTCAAAGGGCTCGATGACACTGGCCAGGAAGTCTTTGACCTGCTGGAAGTGACTGTGGCCGATACTCCAGGACCCATCCACCAGGAAGATCATGTCCGCGGGCATGGGGGGTGTGCAGCGGAACCGGGCACCAGCTGGGGTGGGAGCGGAGGGAGGTGAGGTGCTGGGCAAGGCTGTTGCAGCTACAGGACCTGGAACAGCTCCGGGCTGGTCTCTAGCCCCTGGGAGCTCCTTCTCTGCGGTGGGTGGAGGGGCATTGGCCTCAAATGAGGTGGGCAGCTGAGTGTTGGGGGACAGGACCTAAGGTCTCTCCAGACTCAGAAGAGCCCACATGAACCACAGCCCATCATCTCAGCCCGTCCAAGCCCCCTAAAGATGGCTAGTGGGTCACCCAGTTGCCCTGGCACCTCTGGCCTCCATCACCCTGGGCAGTGCTGTTCACTGTGTGGATGTCAATGCAGGGGTCCACCTTCCTCACCCAGCCGACACCCAGGTCCAGCTGGCAGAGGCTGCCCAAGGGGGTGCCAAATGAGGTGGACGGGGTCAGCACCGTGGACAGCTCCAGGCAGGGCTGGGGGCTGTCCATTCTACCAGCTCTGGGCTGAGGCCTCACTGTCTGGGGTTGGGGCCTGTCCTGACGACCAGGAGCTCCTTGGACACAGAGCCACACCTCTTGACCTGGGGGTCCCTGAGTTTTGCAGATGGTGCTTCCAGGCTGAGCCCCAGAGTCAGGTCAGACCCCGCCTGGAGCTCCTGGGTAAGGTACGTGTGGTGAGACCCCCATCTAATCGGGGAGGCAGGCCCTGGCCTTAAGGTGCTGCACTGCAGGGGAGCCCATCCTGGCAGACCCAAAGTCCACTGGGAGACAGCGGGGGTCCCCACCTGAGGAGGAATGTGCCCGTCTAAGGAAGGAGGTGCCTCCGTCCATTTCAAATCTGATGGGGAGACAAAATCGGAGACATCTCAGTTCTGGAGGGGGAGGCACAGCACTGCCTGCAGGGCCTCATGGGAACGCCACCTGCCTGCCCGCAGTCCCGCGGAGGCCGGCACCCTGGCTGTCTTACCTGGCTCCTCTCTCCCTCCAGCTGAGGCCCTGGCGTAGTTCTGCCCTTCCGGGTCTGGTGGGGGCTGAGCAGGGGCCTTTCCAGCGGGGCTCCTGGGTGGGTGCTGCCCTTCTCCAGGCACTCCTGGGGGGATGGATAACAGCTGCATCGCCTCTCACCTGCCACACCCAAGCTGGGGGACACCTAAGGGGGTGAGGGTGGTGGGACCAGGCACTGAGGCCCCAGGGACTCCTCCAGCAGATGGCCTGCCTCAGTGGCTAGTGAACCCAGGAGGTTGGAGGTGAGCTTAAGTAAAGCAAGAAAGCGTGAGGTCAGAGGGAGGAAGAACTTCCTGGCCACATGGAGAGAAACCCCGAGAAGCTGGCCCACCTGTCCTCATTCAACTTCGACTCACCAAATGTGGGCAGATCTTGGCTTGGGGCCAAGGCCAACCAGGGTTCCAGGTCTAGGCTCCCCACGTGGGAGGGGGTGGGCTCCAGGGCTGCCCCCGCTGGCCTCCTGCCGCTCCTGCTCATGGAGTTACTCTTCAAATCTTCAACTGCAGAAAGATGCGAGGGTCTGTCAGGACCCCACCACCCAGGGAGGGAACAGAGGCCTGGGGACGGCACCCACAGCACACCCCGCAAGGGCTTGTCCTGGCTCCTGGGCGGCTGCCAGGACTCAAGCCCCAGCCTGGGGGCTCCCAGCCCAGAGGTGCTGCCAGGGCTCAGCTCCGCCCCCTCCTCTGCCCAAACACGTGCACCCCCAGAGGACGGACTTACTCACAAACTCCCTCCGAGCCAGCAGGGTGTTCCCTGAGCCGGTGAGCTCGAAGATTTGCACGCTGTAGCCTTTGGAGGGGCTCAGGCCCCCCACCGTGGCCTTGGGGGTCTTGGTTGTCAGCATCACCTCCTGCTCTGGGTCCCCTGGGGTGGGGGTGGGGAGAGCTGTCAAGGCCGCCGAGCCGGACAGTCTGTGTGCACGTGTGTGTGCCTGTCGGGGAGTGGTGAAGTCCTCCTGGCTCCCCCCACCCCAGCTCCTCCCCTCGGGGCAGAGGAGGGAAGAAGAGGAGAGGCCTTTGCTCCTCCCTCTAGGACCTGATGGGAGGGAGCAGCACTCCTGGGCAATTAACTGAGGAAGAATGCATCTGCAGCAGCAAAGTAGTGTGTCCTTTACCAAGCCTCCCCAGAGGGATTTACCCACTGCGAGCACCCATAAGCCCTCCAGATGCCCCAGCGCAACAGTCCTGGGGCCACCACGAAGGTGTGACGATGCAGGCTGCACAGGGAGAGAGGCCGATGGCTGGAGGAGCTGGGCCCCCACCCGCCAGGGCCAGCACCTGGAGGACACGCGAGGTCTGGGCTGGGCTTCCGCTCTGGCGCCGGCAACACCCCCTCTTGCTGAGAGTCGGGAAACTAGGTGGCGTTTCTGCACAGAATCCCTCGAAGGCCGAGCGCGCTAACCGGGTGGCGATTCGGAGCAAAGAGGCCAGCCCCACCCCCGGCCCACGTGCACGCCAGGGTGGGCTGTGGACTGAACATTTGCATCCGCCAGGTTCACAGGCTGACATCCTAACCCCCAAGGCGACCCGTCAGGAGGTAGCCCCCGGGAGGGGATGAGGTCATGAGGGTGGAGCCCTCACGAGGCGGCCAGCGCCCTGATGAGAGGGGCCCCGAGAGCTCCCTCGCTGCTTCTGCCGCACAAGGAGAGAGCGAGGAGAGCACCGTCTGTGAACCAGGAGGAGAGCCCTCCAAGAACCCGGCTGCGCTGGCGCCCGGGCCTCGGGCGTCCAGCCTCCTGGACGGCGGGAAACCAATGTCATTCAACTTTTGCAGCTGCAGCCTGTAGTCCCTTGTTGGAGAGCCTGAACAGGTGAAGACAGGGTGTCTGGGAGAGAGCCCCGGGCCAGCGGCCTTGACGGGCTTGGAGGCTTAAGGGGCAAGAAGGGCCTGGGGCCCTCTGAGGGTGTGAATCCTTGGCCCATGCCCACCCACCCCCCAATTCTTTGGGTAGAGACACTGAAGAGCTACACCCAGGAGCTAGGATTCGTGAGGACAGATTGGGTCTTGAAGGGACTGGACCCCAGCTTCAAACAATCTTAACTTCTAAGATGGAGTGAAGATGACCCAGGTTGTCATCTGTCAGAAACAACCACAAATTGTTTCTGAAGGAAGACAATGTCACACGAGGCCATACACTATTCCTATAGGTTTTCACAGTGTCTGCAACAACAAATAACCAGGTGTACAAGGGAGCACGACGGCATGGTTGAAAGTTAAAAGGAACCTTAGACAAGAGAAAGGGACCCGCAGATTTCCCAGATAATGGAGTTACGAGACTTCAAAATGACCAAGCCTATGAATTTGGATATCAAACTACGAAAACAAACCAATGAAAAAGAAATTCTGGAGTGGAAAAACCAAGTGCAAATTTCCAAATGGGAATTCTAGAATGGAGAAACACAAAAACTGAAGCTAGAAATTCTGAGAATGACTTAACAGCTTGTTACAAACAAATGAGGGGCAAGCAGGGGAAGGCGTTTCAGAGTGAGACAAAAAAGTAAGGCTGGAGAGAGAAAGGGACTGAAAATACTGGAGAAGGCGTAAGGGGCACCGATGCAGTGACAAGACCCCCAGCGTGTAGCCCCACGGGGAGATGGGGAGAGTGGGAGCAAGCACAGCTTGAGGAGATCAGCTAAGGGGGTTTCCAGAACTGCAGGGCGTCAGACCTGGGTCCCGGAAGTCCGACGGGTCTGAAGCAAGATGAGAGACACGCACACGCACGCACACCAGACTAAATGGGCTGGAAACTGCAGCAGAGGGAAAAGTCTTAAAGGCAGGGATTAGGGAAAAGAGGAAGCAAGACGTCTCATCTAAGGGGGCAGCAACTGGGCTGGCAACCGAATTCTCAAGAGGAACGGTAGGAACCGAAAGACAATAAAAGGGGTCTTCAAGGTGCTGAAGGGAAGTTCCAATCAAAATTCTATACCCAGCAACGACATCCTTCAAGAACGAAGGTGGAATACAGACACTTAGGAAAAAAACAAACCCCCCAAAACAGAACCTGCAGCCAGGAGACCCTTACTCAAGGAAACGTTTCAGGCAGAAAGAAGACAGCCCCAGAAGGAGAGGCACTGGAAGGAGCAAAGGGCAACGAAGGGGTAAATACACGAGCTGGTCTGAATTAACATCAAATTGAGCAACTGAAAAAATGGAAATGCTTTATGAGATTTGCTGTAGGTTACGGAGGAGCACGCATGAGTCAGGGCGGGCACCGCTGTGCGGCGTCTGTGCAGGGACAGCTACGGAGCTGTCATGATGCTACATGCTAATAAACCGAGGGCGGTGCTGCGGCCCCTGTCCGCCACACGAGCAAAGGGGACACGGAATGCGGAAAGTGCCCACTCCTCTCACAGCTGCCAATCCGTGGTAACTCCACACGAGAAAAGAGGCAACAGACACCGTGCACCTCCAGCAAGGGCGCAGTGGGACAGGAACCACTCACAAACGATTCCTGTCCACAGAATACAATCAAACCCGGATCTGATCAAACTCCGGGACCTAACTGCCAATCTACGGGGCAGAACGGGGGACAGGAGCAATTTAAAAGGCACCACGGGGATGCCGTCAGCAAGACGTAGGACGTGCAAGTCCTCCAGGATGAATGATCTTTTTTTTTCCACAAACAAGTGCTGAGGAAAAGGAGGGGAGAGGACACTGTTCTGGATGGAACATTACCTGAGACGTGGGAACCAGTACAGTGTGAGGCACAGTGCGAGGGCCCTGCAGGGACCCCCGTGCAAGGAAGTCAATTGTAAAAGACATTTACCTGGCAAGCTGGATGATTTTTAACACACAGAATATTTAATGATAGTCTTGAAGTATTTTCATTCTTCAGGCATGCTAGCAGTACTGGAGTTATTTTTCATCCCTTCTTTTTTTAGAGAAACAAACTGAAATGTTTATAGGCAGAAGTATGTGCTGTCTGGGACTTGCTCAAGATAACACAACCTAAGGAAGGTGCTGGGGGAGAGGCGCAGCGCGGCCCCGCCGCGTGCTGGGGGAGAGAGGCACAGCGCAGCCCCGCCGCGAGCTGGCAGCTGTTGGAGCTTAATCCCGGGCGCACGAGGCTGCATCACACTGAACTCTCTTCTTCCGCGTGTTTTAAAATTGTTCTAGAAAAATTCAGTTCCAAAGAAGACAGGAGAGGAAGAAGTTATAACTAGTGGAACAAAAACAAAACAAATAGAAAGATAGTAGATTTAAATCCAAATGTATCAGAAATGTCATTAAATGTAAACGGGGAAATGTTTCGACAAAAAGGGAAAGACTGTATCACTGGATAAAAACAACAGTAATTCTGTGCTTCTGAGAAGCAGTGTCTGAAGTGAAAGACTGGAGGAAGGTCAAGGAGAGGAACGGGGCACGGCATCCAGTGCAAACGCTTCCTGCTGGAGCAATACTGACCTTACGGAAAGCAGAACGTAAGAAAAAATGGCCGCAGGGAGGTAATGAGGAGTACCTTGTCACAGAAGAGGTTCAGTCTACTAGGAAGGCACGACCGTTCTACATTTGTATGCACCTAATAACAGAGCTTCGACACACGAAGATTAGTGAGACGCCGGAAGAAGGCGTATCTACAGTCACGCTGGGGATTTAAAATACTTCTCACAGCAATTGATGGGTAAGTAGATACATACGCAAAACGTCAGTAACAATGTAAAAGACAAGAAAAATAAACAAAGGTGGCTTAGCTAAAATGCTAGGGAAACCACAGCCAGGTCAGGCTGGGGCTCTTCTCGGGGCAGCGCCAGGCCAGTGAGCCCGGCGGGGCCTCTCCCCCCGGGGACTGAGCGCAGGTTCGCATCGTGCATCTGGCCAACGCGGGCGGCCACACGCCCGTGACTGGGGGCTCGCCTGCAGGTGTCACACCTCAGTTTTGGAAAGGGTTTAATACTCGCAGCCCTCACCCTGTCTGGAGGTCTGTGCTGAGCCACCAGGCGTCTCTGCTGCCGTCCTATAAGACGTGGGCCGCTCGCGCTGGGCACTGGCAGAGTCCTGGCAGCTCTAAGCTGGAGCAGGGTCCTTGACCGAATGCCCCTGCGTGTGCCAGGTGTGGGGACACAGCTATGGGGACTCCCTAGGCCCTGTCCTCCTGCCATGATTTCCCCCAGTTAGCAGGGAAGATGGACAGGAGGGAGGGCAGACTCACAGAGGAGCCAGCCACTGCAGCCCCCATGGTGACCGCTGTGGTCTGCACGGAGGGGAGGCGCAGGCCCTACCTGCCATGGGCTTCACCCGCACCAGGAAGCCGAGGCTGCGCCCCTCCGACTCCCTCCACGTCATCTGTAGCCGGTCCTCAGGCAGCACCACCAGCTTCAGGCGGCCGCTCGCTGGGGAAACAGGACAGGGCGGCCAGGATGACCTCTGGGGCCCACACCAACCAGCTGTGGGGAGCTGGGAGAGGTGTGAGGGGCCCGTCCTGACCGTCTGCGGAGGCTGTGGCCCCACGGAGGGCTCAGTTGGGTGGGGCTGGGCAAGAGGAGGCCCCACCTGGGGCTGAAGGGGGACCCGGTTTCTGAGGGCTCTGAGGCACTGGGGCCACCTGGCAGCTCCAGGGAGGGGAGACTGCTCCTTCCAAGGAGGCCCCCGCCTGCCCCTAGGGGTGTCCCCCCAGCCCCTAGAGAGAGGCTCAGGTTAGCATCTGGGAGTGGCAGTAACTGCCCCCGGAGATGCAGGCGCTGCGCCAACACAGCAGCTGCCTCCCCACCCGGGTTCCTCTGCCTGAGCCTGGCAGCGGGAGGAGCAGCTGTGCGGCCGCAGATCCCAGCTGCCAAGGTCACGGTTGGGTTACACAGCCCATGAGGATACGGTGCCCTGGGGTGGGCGCCCTGGGTGTGGAGAGCCCTGAGTGTGGGGGTGCACTCTGGTGGGTGTGCTGGGCGGGGTGGTCTCGGTGTGGAGAGCCCTGAGTGTGGGGGTGCACTCTGGTGGGTGCACTGGGGGGGGTGCCCTGGGTGTGGAGAGCCCTGAGTGTGGGGCTGCACTCTGGTGGGTGTGC